CCAGATACACACATAGGCAAACATATACACACGCAGATGTACATGTTACAACAAAAATACGCACAAAGACATATACAGACACGTACTGACACAGAGATCCACACTTGCTCACACACAGAGATACACAGATACCGACATATAGACATATATAGACATTCACACATAGAGATATACACAAATCCAGAGACACATACACACAGGCACACACAAACATACAGACAGACACATATACAGACACACAAGTACGCTCACACGGTCTCACAGAGATAATGACAGATACAGAAGCTCACAGGCACACACATAGGTACACAGACACGAATACAGACACTGGTGCACACAGGAGGAGCACACGCACAGTTACACATGTACGCTACACTTTTCTATGGCTTCACAAAACAGTAAGCGCCATGACTGATGTGCTCTGCTACTTTCTAGTCTATTGTTTTGTTGTTGTTTTTTTTGGCCACACTGCATGGCTTGTGGGATCTTAGTTCCCTGACCAGGGATTGAATTCAGGCCCTTGGCAGTGAAAGCATGGAATCTTAACCACTGGACCGCCAGGGAATTCCTCAGATATATTTAAAATGCTTATTGGGACCCAAATAAATTAATTCACAACTGCTGCCCTGGCATGTGGTCGAGATGCATCTCTCTGTCTCTGTCTCTGTCACACACACCCACACACACACATTCAGGTCCAAGCTCTGGGTCAGAGCCCAGGTCCATTCCTGCAAACTCAGGGCCCTCATGCCCGCCCCACTCCCCTGCACCATTGGTTATCTAGCACCACTGCTGCCCGAAGCCAGCTCCACCTCCAGGCACAGCCACTCACGGTACACTGTGATGTTAGAGAAGCCTATCATCTGGAAGCCATTGCAGAAGCCAGAGCAGAGGAGCTGGGTGTCACCAGTCACATTGCTGAGTTGGAAGGCTGCCCAGCCCAGGCCACTGCCCACCGACTCCTTGAGTAGGGACGTCTCCAGGGAGATGAGTTCAGCGCTGGGGCAATCTGTACTGCAATTTACCAAGAGGGACTCTCCGGCAGGCACCACTGGGTTCTGCGGCTCCACTCGCAGCTGGAACTCCTGCCCTTGGGTACCTGGGGGAACAGAAGGAAGCTCTCCTGGGGGTTCCAGTGCCCCCCAACCCACCCATTTGCAGACTCCACCATTCAAAACTTCCTCTTGCCGAGATATGATGGTCTCTGCCTTCATGGTGCTTCAGTTTAGTGAGGAAGACAGATGATGGATCAGGAACCAAGGAGAGCTGGGAGGGAGGCCAGGGGAAGCCCTGATCAAGCCTCTAGGAGGAAGTGAGTCAGGGAAGGCTTCCTGGAGGAGGGGACCACTATGGTCAGTTTTAAAGTGTCAAGGAGGCGTTAGCCAAGTGAAAGGGAAGAGTGAACCTGTCAGACTGAAGAGCATACGCAGAGGTTGAGGGTCCAGAGAAACCAGGGAGGGAATGCGTGCATGCATTCGTGCGTGTGTGTGTGTGTGTTTAAGTGTGTGGGTGTGTGTGCGTGTGTTGTGCAGAGGGAGAAGAACAAGTCAAATGCAGGGACTGTGTCTCTCCGGGAGCCCTGAAGGCTGTGTTAAGAGGCCACCACTTTCTCCCGAGGACACTGGGGAGCCCCCTGGCCGATCTGAGTTTAAGAAGTGTTATTGGCACAGCCCGGGCAGCAGGGTGTGAGGCGCTCTGTTCTCCTTCCCCTCCGCCACCAATCCCGCAACTCCAGCCCGCCCCAGCTTGCCGGGCCTCACCTGGGGGCAGCAGACAGCAGACTAGAAGCAGAGAGATGAACGAAGTCCAGCAGGCCCTGGGCAGTGGCCCTGAGGGCATCATGGTGACCAGCCTGTAGGAGGAAGTTGCCTTAATGAGGCGCTGGGCACTGGAGAGCAGGCGGTTCACCCAGGGGAAGGAAGCACAGCCACCGCAGTTAAGAATGCAGAAGTCCAGGGGCTACACCTTGCCCAGGCCTAGGGAGGGGCAGGGGGATATTGCGCAGCCCCAGGGCTCCAGAGTGGGGGGCCCAGGGAGGTGGAGGGCGCTGGCCAGTCTCCAGGGAGTCTCAGGTAGGGTAGACCTCAGTCACCGCCCCTCCCCTCACCCCCGGCCCCCAGATGAACCCACAGGAAGTGCTAATGCAGTCTTCTTCCTTTGTTTTTAGCACAGGAAAGCCTGGAGGGGGGAGGGGGTGGAGGTGGTAAGACACCTCCTTCCTGTTGAACTTAGGTGAAGTGGGGGTGTTCTGTTCCCAGAGAGGAAGTTAACGGGGGATAATCAGACACTTTCCTTGAAGGGATAGGGTGGGATTTCAAGGCAACATTTCAAGGAGGCAACAACAATGGGTGGACTTCTAGGCAGGGCTTCGCGCAGTTAGCGCAAGATCCCAACATTCCTGGGGGGCAAATAAGAGATTTGGGGGGTGATAATGAGGGACCCCTAAGATAAGTGAAGCCATGAAAATGAGCAGAGCCCACATTTATTGGGGACTTGTGCTAGGCTCTGTGTTGGCTGCCTGGGTGGCTTTTATAGGGCCCCTTATCTTTGAAGATCTTGTGGGTGGGGTCCCGTGTTCCCTGTGTGCAGTGCTGAGGTAGAGTGCTTGGGGGACAGCTAAATCCTGAGCCACCGTCTGCCAAGGGTGCTACTTGTAACCGGCTCTTACCCCTGTCCCCCTCCCACCTTGCCCTTCTTCTCCAGGTAGCTGGTCTCTTTATCCCAACAGCAGGGACTTGGCGGGGCGGGGAGAGGGGTCAGGTGGGGACTCCCACCTCCATCAGTTCCATCTCTCAGGCCTCTGACCTGCCTCCTGTGCCTCTGACCCGAGCTCCAGGGAGGGACCTTGTTGAAGATCTTGATGGCACTCAGCATTCATCCACTCTCCCCATCCCTAAGGCCACACCCCCTCCTCTCTCACCTGGAGTACCCTCCCCAATGAGGTCTCTCCTCGCCTGCCCCGCCTCCCAAAAATCCGTTTCGCACATGGTGCCCAGAGAGCAACTAAAACCCAAATCAAAAGTATTTGTAAATAATATATCTGATAAGGTATTAATATCCAGATTATAAAGAATTCCTACAACTCAACAACAAACCCAATTCAAAAATGGGCAAAGGGCCTTACCTGGTGGCGCAGTGGTTGAGAGTCCGCCTGCCGATGCAGGGGACACGGGTTCGTGCCCCGGTCTGGGAAGATCCCACATGCCGCGGAGCGGCTGGGCCCGTGAGCCATGGCCGCTGAGCCTGTGCCTCCCGGGCCTGTGCTCCGCAACGGGAGAGGCCACAACAGTGAGAGGCCCAAGTACCGCAAAAAACAAAAAAACAAAAAAAACTACAGGGACTTCCCGTGTGGTCCAGTGGTTAAGACTCCGCGCTTCCACTGCAGGGGGCATGGGTTCCATCCCTGGTCGGGGAACTAGGATCCCACATGCCGCACGGCCAAAAAAAAAAAAAAATTGACATGTGCAAGGATTCTCACAGAACATCTACTGAACTCTGGCAGAAGATACCAGACTTCCAAACGGGCAAAAAAAATCTCCATGTAACTGGGTATGACAAAAAAAAAAGAAAGCGAATAAAACAGAGAGAACAACAAGGTCCTACTGCATGGCACAGGGAACTACATTCAACATCCTGTGATAAACCATAACGGAAAATAATTTTTTAAAAATATTTATTTATTTAGTTGCACTGGGTCTCAGTTGCAGCAGGAGGGCTCCTTAGTTGCGGCTCGCTGGCTCCTTAGTTGTGTCATGCAAACTCTCAGTTGTGGCATGCGGGTGGGATCTAGTTCCCCAAACAGGGATCGAACCTGGGCCCCCTGCACTGGGAGCGTGGAGTCTTAACCACTGTGCCACCAGGGAAGTCCCGGAAAATAATTTTTTATAAAAAAGAATTGCAAAAAAAAAAAAAAAGTAGCTGCCCAAGAACAAGCCAAGATAATTTTGAGAAAAGAATGAGGAGAGACTTGCCCTATCACCTCTCAAAATATATTCTAGTGGCAATGACTTTCCAAATTACCAGGTTAGATCGTGCAGCTATTCCCATTGGGAATTTGTCCTACAGATACCCTTGAACGTGGGTGAAACCATGTGCACACATGCTTACTCACTGCAGCAGCCCAGGGTATGGCAAAGGATTAGAAATGATTACATGAACAAATGCCGATGACATTTGAATGATGAGCTACAACACAACCATAAAATAGAAAGAGAAAACACTGTTTGCCTCCAAGGCCTATTATGTGGGAAAAAAATAGAAAAGATACAGGCTAGAGCTCTATATAGCAGCACACACTATTATTTTTGCAAAAGATGGGGAAATGTAACATGTGCACAGATTTCCTTGGATCTGGATAAAATGTCTCTGGAAGCCAAAAGAGGAAACCAGATAACATTAGTTGTCTCCTGGGGAGGTGACAGTGGTGGCTGATGGACAGAGGAGGGAAACATTTCACTGCCTATGGCAATATCAAAAAAAAAAAAAAAGGAAGATTTACAATTATAATGAATATTTAATTTTAAAAACTGTTATAAAAAGCAAATATCACTAAAATAGTGTGAAACTGACCAGTCAGGAGGGCTGCAATGCACAGGGTCTTAGGAAATCCCATGGGAAAGAAATCTAACTGCCTTTCACAATGTGGCAGACCCATCTCAAGTATACCTGTTAAGCAGAAACACGTTGGCAAACACCAGATTAACAATAATATCAAATGTTTATTGAGCAGTTGTTTGCATATCTCTCTGCTAAGCATTTGACAGATACGACCTCATTAGCTCTTTTTTTTAAAAAATTATTTATTTGTTTTTATTTTTGGCTGTGTTGGGTCTTCGTTGCTGTGCGCGGGCTTTCTCTAGTTGCAGCGAGCGGGGGCTACTCTTTGTTGCAATGCGTGGCCTTCTCATTGTCGTGGCTTCTCTTGTTGCAGAGCACGGGCTCTAGGTGTGCAGGCTTCAGTAGTTGTGGCACACAGGCTCTACAGGGCAGGCTCAGTAGTTGTGATGCATGGGCTTAGTTGCTCTGCAGCATGTGTGATCTTCCCGCGCCAGGGATCAAACCCGTGTCCCTTGCATTGGCACGCAGATTCTTAACCGCTGCGCCACCAGGGAAGCCCTCATTAGCTCTTGACACTAGTCCTATAAGGCAGCAAGCATGACCATCCCAAGTTCATAGTTGAAAGCTAAGGCCCAGAGAGAGGAAGCCACTTGCCTGAGGTCACACAGCGAGAAAAAGGTGAAACTGGCAATCTTATTTACATGGCATGTGGTCCTCCAGGTCCTTTGTTGATATATTTAACATACATCTTGAGGGCCTTCTGTGTTCCAGGCATTGGTCTAATTGCTGGCTGGTGATTTAGAGGTGAGCAAAGTTCAATAGTTGAATCTGACTTCTTCTGCAGTGAGTGTCTTGCTCTAGCTGCAGTCCCCAGGATAGTGGACATTTGCTGAAGAAGGGCCCAAGGACCATGCCTCTAGCAGAGGAAATATGAGTTGTTAACCAGTTAGGGGAGATAGTGGGCTCCAAGGGCAGGAGCTGGGGGAAGATAAAACGATCAGATTCAAGGCCCTGTTTAGCTCCTTGCTTGTCCTGGATCCCTCAGGAGCCTGTGTCAGGCTCATGATCTTGGAAGGTTCTATGGTTTGAACGTTTCTGTCCCTTCAAAATCACTATGTTGAAATCCTAACACCCAACGTGATGGTATTAGGAGGTGCATAGGTCATGAGGGTGGAGCCCTCATGAATGTGATTAGTGCCCTTATAAAAGAGGCTCCAGAAAGATGCCTTGCCCCCTTGGACCTTGTGGGGACATAGTAAGAAGGCATAGGCTATGAACCAGTAAGAGGGCTTTTGCCAAAATTCAACCATGCTGGTGCCTTGATCTTGACTTCCCAGCCTCCAGAACTGTGACAAATAAATTTCTGTTGTTTATAAGCCACCCAGAATGTGGCGTTTTGTTATAGCAGCCCAAACAGACTAAGACAAGGAAAGTCAGTTCAGAGGGGTGGGGCATCCAGACAGGAGTAAGGCACAGGGAGTCAGTGAGGCTGACCACCCCCTCTTGGGCTCCTCTTAGGGTGGGAAGCAGAAGGCCCTCTCTGTGGGTACTGTCTGCTCCAATCCCCCCAAGCAGAGCTGCTGGCAGGCTTCAGCAGACACTGAACACTGAGGCTGCCTGGCCTTGGTATTTCTCGTGGACCGTTTTGAGGATGGGTATGAGGTTCTGGAAGGTCGGGCGGAATGAGGCCTCTGCTTTCCAGCAGTTCTTCATGAGGCAATAGATCTGGGGAAGGAAAAACTGAGGCTGTGATCTCTGCTCTCTCCCTGGTCCGATGGTGGGGGCAGGGGGAAAAGGGAGGGTCTCACCTCACAGGGACATTTCTCTGGCTGTGGCAGCCTCTCTCCTCGTTCCAGCAGCTCAGTGAGCCTCAGCACTGTCATCTGCCCCTGGGTGAGGCCTATGAGCTCGATGAATTTCTACAGAAGAAACAGGACAAGCTCTTTTTAAGAGGCGGGGCTGCCTAGATAGAGGTCAAGAGTCTGAAGCCGGACGGCAGGAGTTCTAATGCCATCTCTACCACTTCTCAGCTGCATAACATTGGTCTTATGACTTTGCCTCTCTGGGCCTCAGTTCTCTCATCTGTAAAATGGGTGATAACATCTACCACCTGGGGTTATTGTGAAACTTAGATAAACTAATATTCATACAGTAAGTCTGAATTAGGTGCTTGCTATTATTATTAAGCCTCAGCAAGTTGTTTTTGCCTGTTCAGAAAATTTTTTTAATTTTTTTTAAATTAAAAAAAAAATTTCCTATAAAGGCACTCTGATTGGCTTTGGGAATAAACCCTTAACATACTCTAGGCTCCTCCCCTCAGCCAAGGACTACACAGTGAGTGGCTCCCTGGAGGGCACGTGAGTCAAGCTGGGCCAATCAGAGAGTCCTGAATTATGTTGGAAAGAGAAAGACCCTCCTCCCCTCAGCTGCGTCCACTGTTGCCACAACAAAGGGAAGGCTTGCTTAAGAAATGCTACCAGTGGTTAAGACTCGGTGCTTCCACTGCAGGAGGCACAGGTTCGATCCCTGATCGGGGAACTAAGATCCCACATGCCGCGTGGCACGGCAAAAAAAACAAAATGCTACCATGGAAATCAGCAGAGCCGAGAGATGGAGAAAATGGGATTCCTGATGGCATTTGAAGGTCTAGATCAAGCCATGTTCCCACTGTCCCCTTGGGGTTTGCAAATGGCAGAATAAGCCGTTCCTATTTGAGTGGGTTTCGGTCACAATCCAAGCCCTCTGCAGTGTAACTGGCCCACTTTACAGAATGCGACTGTGAGGCTCAGGTAGGTTAAGTTCTTGCTAGGGTGGGGGAGCTGGGAACTGAATGCATGCCTCGCTAACTCCTCTAGGATAGGGTCGGGGGGCAGGCCTGGCTCTCACCGAGGGGGGGCTCTGGGTGGAGTCACAGTAGGTCAGCAGCTCATACATGGTGACCCCAAAGGACCAGACGTCGGATGCATAGTAGAACTTACACTCCTTCAGGCACTCCGGGGCATACCTGGGGAGAGAGGGCACTCAGGCCTTGGGCCAGACCGAGCTGGAGTCCTTACCCGAGGCTTAGGAGCCCTGTGGTCCCAGTTAGGGCCCCACCCTTAAGAGGGGGGGCAGTGTCACTTGACCCAGGCCCTGTCGTCTGAGACCCCGGAATCCATCTCCTCCACCCTGTCTGCTCCAGGTGACCCTGGCACCCCTCCCTCCGGCTGGGTCCCGCTGGTTACCAGAACACGGGACTGTCCCCATCCTCGCGCACACAGTAGTACTCATGGCCTTCGGGCACGGCCTTGGCGAGACCGAAGTCCCCAATCTTGACCAGCCTGTTGTTGTCCAGCAGCACGTTGCGTGCGGCCAGGTCTCGGTGCACGTAGTGCTGCGCGTGCAGGTAGGCCATACCCTGGGGGTGGGGCAAGTCAGGATCAGCGCGGGGGCAGGACCGGGCCTGAGAAGCAGTGACCAGGATGGCTAGGGGACAGTCAAGTTGGCGGGGACCAGGCGCGGGAACGGGCAGGATGGCAGCTGGGGCCAGAGAGAAAAGGAGCAGAGCCGCACAGCAGAGGTGGAGCCACATGGGGGGCTCCCCCGGGGCAGGGGGCGGGAGAATTGGGAGGGGGGGGGGCCTGGGCCAGTGGGGGTGTGGCCAGGTGATCTGCTGAATGGACAAGGATGGAGGAGAGCAGGCCCAGCGGGGTTGGCGGGGGAGATAGGGAGCTCAGGCCAAGCCAAAGAAGCGGGCAGGTTCTGGGAGCAGGGGCAGGCAGGCCCACCTCACAGATCTGCTGGGAGAAGAGCAGCAGCTGGGCCAGCCCGACATTGTGCCGAGGCAAGTAGTCTCGGAGGCTGCCCAGGGGCACGTACTCCATGACCAGCTGTACCGACTTCTCGCCTGACACCGGAGAGGAGCGGCCCGTAAGGGTGGTAGAGACCTGGACCACAGGCTGCCCACCCTGCACCCCCTATCCCAAGGTGGGGAGGGAAAACCAAGATCCATCCACACTAGGACCAGTCCTCAGGTGGGGCGGACCCATCCTGAACCCGTCCACAGGCAAGGGAGCTGACGGTGGCTCCCACCCATCCTGGCCCCAGCAGAGCACCTAAGGATGGAAAGGAGGCAGCCGGGCCTCGCCCACCTTGGTGTCTGCAAACTGCATCTTCCAGCCTGGGGCTGAGAGGCTCTAATTGGCCAGGTCCTGCTGGCCCCGCCCACCAAGCCACACCCAAGCCATAGCACCGCCCTGTTACATCTCTAGGCCCCGCCCACCTTGGTCCTCGCAGCAGCCCTTGTACTTGACAATGTGCTGGTGGTAGAGTGTGCGCAAGATTTCGATTTCTCGCCTCCAGCCTGTACGGAGCTGGGGACCGCAGCCTGCCTTGAGGGCCTTCACGGCCACCATCTCACCAGTGCCGTCATTGGTTGGATCGTAGCAGTACAGGCTGACCTTTCCGAAGTGACCCTGGCCGGAGCGTGCAGGAGCGTCAGCCCCACCCCCAGCTCCCCAGGCAGGTTTGTTTGGAAAATCCAAGGCCCCACCTACTCCATGTGGATGGGTCCCCTTGGGGCTGAGGCCTCCCTTTCAATTCCCCGGGGCCTCCCTTGAAGCTGAGAGTCTCTAAGGCCAGGGCCTTGGAGCAGCCCATGCCCCGCCGCCGGTCCTCCAGGCCTCGCCCTTACCTCACCCAGATCCCTGATCTTTTTCAAATAGCGCTTGTGGAAAACCGTAGGATCTGACGCCGGTGAGTCCGGGTTCACAGACAAGACATCAACGAGATCTGGAAGAGCTACAGTGGGTGAGTCTGGAACACAGCCCTTTCTCCAAAAGGGTCCACACTTGGGGACACAGAAAGCCAGCTACTGCTTTCCCCAGCATCCGATCCCAGAGATAAGCAAACTTTTTTTTTTTTTTTTTTTTTGCAAGGGCTGGAAAATTCCTCTTATTGTCGAAAACACAGAGCTGGCTGCACTATAACCAACACCTGGGATGTTCTGAGATTGGGTAAAGGGCACAAACTTTTCATTAATAACCAAAAAATTTGCCAGGGTCTAATTCATCCCAAGAAGCCGTGGCTCTCCCCAAGCAAAACATAAAGGAGAGCTTGGGGCTTCCCCTCCCCCTTACTTAAGTGAATTAGAAACCGGCACACACCCTAAGCCACTGTACAGAGACTTGGGTGCACCATGCCTGAGTCAGCAGGGATCCCAGCCCCTCCCCCCCCCAGGGTCCCCGCCCTGGAGTGATGCTCACTTTGGGGCTGCAGCTGAGTGAGGTCACGCAGGATGGTGCGGAAGGATGGCCGCTGGGCTGGCTCATAGGTCAGGCACTGGCTGGTGAGTATGGCCAGCTCTGGGCACGAGGGCTCAGGCAGCTTCTGCTGCTTCTGGTAGAAGCGCTCTTTCTGTTGGAGAGGGGACCGGAAGGAGTCAGTGTACACCCTCAGTCCCCTTCCCCAAGAGGCGGAGTCAAGTCCCCAGAGCAGGGCTAGACCAGCCAGGTCCTTGTTCTTGTCATTCCCATTTTACAGATGAGGCCACTGAGCCTCGGCAATGGGATGCAGACTTGCCCACCACCGCAGAGTCAGGATTGGAACCCAAGTAGAGCAGGCTGTGCTGTGCTGGAGCATCTCACACTTGGCCCTTCCTGCCCTGCCTTCCACCCACCTCTGCTCCCAGAACGCTTTTGCATACTGCAGCTCCCTGAACGCCCCAAAGCCTCCCGGCCTTGGCATAGGCTGTGTCCACCACCTAGGCTGCTCTTCCTAGCCTGGGACACTGATATTCCTGCACTTAGATTAAAACCTCCTCTGGGAAGCCCTGCCCCATCCCTCAGCTGGGTCAGGGGCATCCTCTGGGTCCCCTTCCTCCCGACTGCCTGTGCCTCCCCCTTGATGCCCTGGTCACTCTGCCTAAAGCATGTGATCTATTTGCTTTGTGCCGTAACGACCTTATGAGGTTGGGACTGCAGTTCACTGCAACTGACAGATGACCTGATGGAGCCCCAGAGAGATGAGGCTGCATAGCCAGAGGGGAGGCAGCTCTGGACCTTGAATGTACCCTCTGGACTCCTTGGCGGTGCCAGCCCTCTTTGTGCGAAGGGCCCAGGGGGTCCCCTGGACATACCTCGGAGGGGCTGCGGCCCTGCAGGGGGGCCTCCCCATCGAAACAGATCTCCAGGAGGGTGGCACCAAAGCCCCACTTGTCGGCTGCAGTGCTTAGGCTGTTGGCTCCACCGGACAGGCACTCAGGGGCTGTCCAGGGGATCCGCTCCACCCGTTCTGGGGGCCAGAGTCAGAGGTCAGCAAGGTAAAAGGAGTGGGGGAAGCCCGCCCCTGTGCCCAGCCCTGCCTGCGTCCTCACCCTCCCTGGAGAGGACGCTCAGGCCCACACCGGGGTCACTCAGCTTGATGAAGGGGCTGGTGCCCTCCGCCAGCCCCAGCCGTGCCAGGAGGATGTTCCGGCCACACACGTTGCTGTGAACCAGGCTCTTGTCTTCCTGGGGTAGGGGGGAAAGGGGGGCGTGGCCACTGGGGGCTGTAGACCCCACCCCTACCCCATCCCACATCGTCCCCCCAGGGACAGCCCAAGCGAAAAAGACAATCATGGTCGTTATGGAGATGCCAGTCCATTGTCATAGTGACAAGGCAGCACTGGGTCTCCAGTGGGTCCTTCCTGTTTTCCCAGTGCTGGTGGCCAAGGCTCTCAGCCAGGGACAAAAGGCCAGAGGACCCTACTGTGGTCCTCAAACCCATGGCAGGCATGCTCCTTCCCCAGGGCCTTTGCACTGGCTGTCCCCTCTGCCTGGAATGCACTTCTCCCAGATACACTCACAACTACCCACCTCTCCCCTCACCCCATGTCACCTCCAGGTCACCTTAGTGAGGCCTTCCCCAACCCACCTGTTTAAGACATCACCTCTTCCCCAAACTGTAACAAATCCTCATCTCCACCTCTGCTTTTTTGCCCGCAGTTCTTGCTACTTTCTGGCGCACTATGTAATAATGTACGAATTATTATTTCTCGCTTGCCCCTCCCAACTAAAATGCCAGCTCCCCAAGGACAGAAACTTCTGTCTGTTTTGTTCTCTGTTGGGTCCCCAGGGCCTAGGACAGAGCCCGGCACACAGGGGGTGTTCTGGAAACTGGGGTGACTGGACCGGGAAGGGCTAGAGAACAAATGGCAAGAGTGACAGAGGCGACTGCCACAGGGCCTTGGACACCAAGTGGAGGAGGTGGGGAGAGATGGGAGCCACAGGGGTGCGTGAGCAGAGGAGGTTCATGGGAAGATCCAGTGCGTGGATGGGTGCATTCAGGCCTCCATACGCAACGTGGGAGCTGCCCTGGCCCTCCCCACCCACGCAGGCCCCGCCCACAGACCACGCACCAGGTAGCTGAGGGCGCTGGCCAGCTGCTGGGCCACTGCCAGCTTCCAGGCCAGGGGCACGTGGCCCCTCTCCCGCCGCAGCCACACGTCCAGGGGCCCGTGCTCCACGTACTCCGTCACCATGATATCTGCAAAGGCCCAGCCACTGCAGGTGCTGCCCACCAGCTTACCCTCCAGGGCACCAGGGGGCAGGACGGGGATGGGGGGGGGGTGCTGGGACTGTAGGTGGGGAAGGTGTCGGGCAAGGGTGTGGGGGGAGGCTCGGGAGCGACTCTGGGGAGAGGAGGAATGCAGTACGGAGGACCGGAGGAGGTGGGTGCAGGGTGAGGCCGAGCTGAATGCTGGCATTTGGGTCCAGGGTGGGACTGGGGTAGAGAGGAGGCTGCGAGTGAGTGACAAAGGTCAGGACGGGATTGGGGAACCGGGGGGAGGGTGCAGACGAGTGGAGGGAGTGGAGCTGGAGGTTGGGATCCCACAGGGCTGGGGGTGCCTGTGCAGTGAGAGGTGCGCAGGCTCGGCACGTAGGCCAGCGTTGCAGGGAAAGCAGGAGAGACGGACACGTGGTGCTGAGGTCGGTGGGCCTGGGGGCGGCCGTGGGCACCCTGTACAAGGAGATGCGCACAGAGTAGCGGGAGAGCGGGGGGAGAAGCAGGGGCTGAGGTCTGGGAGGATCGGGGTGCCCGACAAGGCTGGGGTCTGCATGCTGTCACGGTATCGCAGGGGTCAGAGGATACACAGGGGCCGGATTGTAGAGGTGTTTGGGTGGTAGATGGAGCTAGGGATGCAGTCTGGAGTCGGGGTGCAGGTAGACGGTTGGGGCGTAGCCAGGGATCAGGGAGCCGCTAAGGGTCATGGTGTGGACAGGGTTTAGGCTGGAGATGAGAGTCGATGGGCACAGGCTGGGGTACGTTCAGGGCTGGGGTGTAGGTCAAAGGTCAGTGTGCAGTCAGGGATAAGGATGCAGGCCAAGAGTGTAAGCGGGGTCGGGCTGTAAGTGGGGCAGAGTGGGGTGGGGTGTGTGTATGTCGGGGGCGGGCAGGGCCCACTCACTCTCGGAGCCATGCACGTAGATGCCATGCACGAAGACCAGGTGCACGTGGGAGACCTGGCTCATGAGGCTGGCTGTCTCGTAGAAGGCCTGTGGGGACGGGGCAGGTTAGGGGGCTGCAGGCCCTGACCCTGACCCTCTTCACCCTGCCCCCCATCCCCTGGCCACGCTCACTCACCAGGGCGATGTCATGGTGACTGGGATCTAGCACCTTGAGTACCACTCGCAGCTCCTGTTCACAGCCCGCCCCGGGCATGGGGGGGTCCCCGCCATCCACCTTGTCCTCTTCAGGGCCTCCGCCCTCCACTCGCAAGAGGCCCTCATACACATTGGTCCTCGTGCCCTGGCCCAAGTGGGACAGCTGGGGGGACATGGTGTGGAAGATCTCCATGACAACGGCTCCAGGCTGCCTCCCTGGTGCCCCGCGCCCGCAGGGGCCACCCCCGCGCCACGCACCTGGGTGATGTCTTCCTGGCGGATCTGGTGGAAGCTGAGATGGCTGAGGTTGAGTGGCCTGCTGCTGGCCCGAGGTCCCCGCGTGACGATGAGGTTGGAGATCTCTGGGGATGGAAGCAGTCCCTGAAAGTTGGCACGGAGGGAAGAGGCCCCCCCCACAACCCGAGCCCCGTGGCACTCCCATCTTGGTACCTCCTGGCCGTGGCAGGCAGCAGTGGCGCAGGGAAAAGCAGTCGTCGCCAGCCCGCAGGGAGCAGCCCTGCAGGGCAACCCGCAGCTCGCGCACGCTGGGGAAGGACCGGTCCCAGCCCTCCAGCGCGACAGTCCCAGCCTGCAACTCGATGGGGAACTTCCGTAGGTGCAAGCCCTTCACGCCAGGTGCCTGGAGCAGGTGGCAGCAGGGGTGAGGGCGGTGAGCAGGGGTCCAGGCAGGGAGCACGCCCAGCCCCAGCCCAGGACCCCCGCCCCAGGCCCACCTGGTCACGCTGGGCCACCGTGAGGATAAGGCGGTGGAGGTGGCTGGTGCTCCAGTGGATGAGGTAAAGGCCGTCCTCGGGCTGCAGCCTGGCCAGCACAAACGGCTCCCTGGGCGGGTGGGGGCACAAAGGGGCACCATCAGGGCACCTGGGAGCACTGCTGGACCCACACCTGGCAACAAGGACACACAAAACCTGCCCAGCAGGGCACACTCCAGCTGGGATAAATGTCAGACACAGCTTACGTGGTGACACTGTGTCTGAACACACACACGCAGGTAACCCTGTCCCGTGCATGAAAACTCACACACAGACACAGGTACCGGAACAGGCACATGCTCGTGCGTAACAACTGTGGACACTGTGGCCGACAAAATCACACACACACACACACACACACACACACACACACACACACACACGGGAAACAGCCATCAGATGCCAAATGGGCACACACCCAGCCATAGACACTGCCACTCCCAGGGTGACCCACAGTGCAGTCTGTCACACACCGAAAGGAAAAGATCACAGACAGAGGACTTCCCTGGCGGTCCAGTGGTTAAGACCACGCTTCCACTGCAGGGGGCGCAGGTTCAATCCCTGGTTGGGGAACTAAGATCCCGCATGCCGCACAGTGCAGCCGAAAAAAAAAAGAAAACAAAAGTATGAAAGATCGCAGACACAGCCGCTGTGTAACGTAACAGCACAGGGGCACTGGCATCCCAGACCCAGAGGGGACAACTGTCATAAGCACAAACAGGTACTACAAGGTGACACAGCCACACAGACTCTGACAGTTACCTATGTGGTGCCATAGACTGAATGTCTGTGTGCCCCCCAAATTCCTACGTTGAAGCCCTAACCCCCGACCAAGGTGATGGCCTTAGGAGGTGGGTCTTGGGGAGGTGATTAAGTCATGAGGGTGGAGCCGTCACGAATAGGATTAGTGACATAAAATGGACCCCAGAGACTCCCCTGGTGGCACAATGGTTAAGAATCCGCCTGCCAAAAAAAAAAAAAAGAATCCGCCTGCCAATGCAGCGGACACGGGTTCGAGCCCTGATCCAGGAAGATCCCACATGCCGCAGAACAACGAAGCCCGTGTGGCACAACTACTGAGCCTGCGCTCTAGAGCCCGTTAGCCACAACTACTAAAGCCTGAGCGCCACAACTACTGAAGCCCGTGTGCCTAGAGCCCACGCTCTGCAACAAGAGAAGCCACCACAGTGAAAAGCCAGGGCACCGCAATGAAGACCCAACGCAGCCAAAAAATAAATTAAATAAATATATTAATTTAAATAAATAAATACAAAAATAAAATGGACCCCAGAGATCTCGCTCACCCCTTCCACCATATGAGGACACAGCCAGAAGACTGAACTTTGGTTATGTAACAGGAGGTGGGGCTCTCACCAGACACTGGATCTGCCAGCACCTTGAATTTGGACTTCTAGCCTGCAGAACTGTGAGAAATAAGTGTCTGTGGTTTCTAAGCCGCCCAGTCATTGGCATTCTGTTACAGCAGCACGAATGGACTAAGACACACGCTGACATGGCCCATAGGCCCCGGACGGCCACAGCCCTTGAGAGGTGAAACGACCACTTCACCCTCCTCTGGTGTAGAGACTAGGCTTGGAAGGGTGAGACCTCTTAGACTGACCCAGGGGCCAGTCCAAGTGTCACAGATAGGACAGGGGATACCCAGGCACAGGGCCAATGACCAGATGAGCTGATAGTCACCAACCCCAACCCGGCAGCATACAGGATGGCCACACACACCTGATGACCACGTAAGCCCTGACACTTCACATTCTCAGCCCCACACGTCCAAGCAGGAGTGCTCAGTCGGTGATCCACAAGTACCAGGACAGATACATGCCTGCAGGGGTGTAAACACCCACACGTATATCTGAACAGCCACCAGCGTTTGGACAACGCATAGCCCAGCAAAACTCACCAGTCCTGTCACGTGCAAAAACACACACTGACGATTTAAAACGCAGTTGGAGGACCTCCCTGGTGGTCCAGTGGTTAAGACTCCGCGATTCCACTGCAGGGGGCATGGGTTCCATCACTGGCCGGGGAACTAAGATCCCGCATGCCCCGTGGCACGGCCAAACCAACAACAACAAAACCAAACAAAACGCACTCCCCAGAGTAGTGACACAGCTGCGTGCCAAATGGGCTGTTAAACATTCAGACATGCGTGGTGACAGTTCCCAACCCAGGCACTCTCAGCGTGACACACCGTCCATGCCGTTACAGGTGCCCTCTCTCCCCCCATCACCCCTGGGTGCACACATGCACCCACATGAGCACCCACTGACGTGAACGCATGCACAATGCTGTATGAGCAAATCCTTGCACGTGTACCCGCACGCACACACAGACACGCGTGTGCACACTGGACACGAATGCTCCTGCACACGTGCATGCACACTCATGTACACACCCAGGCACACACACACTGACAGGTACACACTGAGACACGGATGCTTGCACACACATGTGCACTCATATACATGGGTGAACACACAGGCCTTCACACCCTAAGACACACACACACACACTAAGACACCGACATGCACACACCTCATTCAAACCCCACAGTCCCTAGAGCTCACTGCCCAGTTCAGTCACCACCACGCAGCCCACCCGCCCTTCTCGGCACTCACAGCAGGGGTCCGTGGATACCGTCCTGGATACTCATCACCAGCCGTGGAGGAGCCACCTCATGGCATAGGTAGTGGCTCGAGTCGGCCGTCAGGCGGAAGTAGCCATCCACCAGTGACACCAAGGACAGGGCTGCAGCCCGGGAAGGCAGGGTCAACTCCTGCAGGCCAGGGGACGGTGGTGGGGAGGACAACATCAGGCAGATGTCACAGGCCAGAGGCTCCCACTGTCACCCAACCCTCCCCCCACGGCCAGCCCGGGCCCCCGTCCAGGGCCCCACCAGGCACTTGTTGTCCTGACAATGAATGCTGACGCGGCGTTCTTTCAGCACCACGTGGGTAATGTCCTGGAAGTCGCAGAAGTAGGCCCATGGGGCCTCCTGAGGTCTGTGCACTGGCTGGTTGCCCACCTCCTGGGCCTTGGCTTTCTTCCCAGATGGGCCAGCATGGGGCATCCTTCTGCCGCCACCACCACCACCATCACTGGGAGTCTGGAAACCAGCACGTGGGGCAGGTGAATGGAGCAGGGCAGTGCCTGTTTAGTCCCACTGCACTTTTCCCCGGGGGAGAGGCGGGAGCTGGAGGGACCAGGCAACCCCCCCCATCAACCCCAGTGTCACAGGCTGGACAGGAGACCCACCCAGAGAGATACACATGCCAGAAACTGGAACTTCGGGGAGAGTAGAATGGAGGTTCCTCACCCTCTCGGCCCCAGATGCCAGACCCCAGAAATCAGGTCCCCAGGGGGGCAGGCAGACAGAGGACACTCCCCAAGAAACAGACCCCCAGGGACTTCTCTGGCGGTCCAGTGGTTAAGACTCCACTCTTCCAATGCAAGGGGCACGGGTTCGATCCCTGGTCGGGGAACTAAGATCCCACATGCCATGCCGCGTGACCAAAAAAAACAAAACAAAAAACCAAACCAAAACAAAAAAAAGGAACAGACTCCCAGGCACAGACTGACACACCCCAGAGGCACGTGGGGGAAAACCACCTTCGGAGGCCAAGGCCAAGGCTGAGCAAGGGCGCGCCACCCCCAGCTGCCCTGGACTGCTAGATGGAAGAGGCGCCCCGCTCACCTCTGCCTGTACCAGCCGCCACTGGATGCCGTCGGTGCCCGACACCAGCACCTCGTGAGTGGGGGGTCCTGTGGCAGACTCGGGCCCGGGGTCGGGAGGGGCCTGTCCGCCATCCCGGATGTAGCAGGGCTCCCCCTCGGCCTGGGCCAGTAGCTCCAGGTGGCACACGGGCACGCGCTCTGTGCCGAAGCGGGGCGCCAGCCGCTCGAGTGTGGCCAGGTACTTCACCATGACAACCTGCTGGGAGAGGCAGCCTGGCTGGAAGGCCCGCAGGAACTTGCGGAAGATGCTCCGCAGGCGCAGCCGCGTCAGAGCATTGTGCTGTCGGATCTGCTGCCGGAAGGAGCGTGGGATGCAGTCCTTGAAGCTGTGGGGACGACCAGGAGGGGCCAGTCAGGGGCTGGGATTGCAGGCCTAGCTGGGTGACGTGGGGCAAGTGGCTTCATCTCTCTGAACCTCAGCTGCCTCGTCTAGAAAACAGACAGGCTGCAACCTACATGGCCATCAACAGATGAATGGATAAAGATGTGGTACGTATATACAATGGAATACTACTCAACCATTAAAAAGAATGAAATAATGCCATCTGCAGCAACATGGATGCAACTAGAGATCGTCATACTGAGTGAAGTAAGTCAGGAGGAGAAAGACAAATACCCTATGATATCACTTATATGTGGAATCTAAAATATGACACAATGAACCTATCTACAAAACAGAAACAGAATCACAGACATAGAAAATAGACTCTAGTTGCCAAGGGGGAGGAGGTTGGGGGACAGATGGAGTGGGAAGCTGGGGTTAGCAGATGTAAGCTTTTATGCATAGAATGGATAAACAACAAGGTCCTACTGTACAGCACAGAGAACTATATTCAATATCCTATGATAAACCATAATGGAAAAAGAGGATGAAAAAAACAAGAATGTATATATATGTATAACTGAATCACTTTGCTGTATAGCAGAAATTAACACAACATTGTAAATCAGCTATATTTCATTTTAAAAAACATTAGGGGGGGCTTCCCTGGTATCACAGTGGTTAAGAATCCACCTGCCAATGCAGGGGACACGGGTTCGAACCCTGGTCCGGGAAGATCCTACATGCCTCGGAGCAACTAAGCCTTTGCGCCACAACTACTGAGCCTGTGCTCTAGAGCCCGCAAGCCACAACTACTGAGCCCATGCGCCACAAGTACTGAAGCGCACGCGCCTAGAGCCCGTGCTCTGCAACAAGAGAAGCCACCACAATGAGAAGCCCGCACACCTCACCAAAGAGTAGCCCCCGCTCGCCACAACTAGAGAAAGCCCGCACACAGCAACGAAGACCCAGTGCAGCCAAAAATTTAAAACATAAAAATAAAAAATATAAAAACTGAAAAAAAAACCCAAAACAATAAAAAAAACAGGCAGGCTGTCATGAAGGTGGACAGAGAATGCTATAAAGGGCCAGCACAGGGAGGCCAGGTGGTGTCTGGGCCCAGGGCCCAGGACTTTGGAGGAGACTATAGGTCGGAAATCCCAGCTCTTGGGCAACTTCCTTAAGCTCTAAAGGGCTCTGTCTTTTCATCTGTAAAATGGGATCAAACAGTGCCCACTTCTAGGGCTGATGAGAGAATCAGGACTATTGATTGGCATAAAATAAGGACTATGTGAGTGTTGGCTATTATTATTATTGGAGAAGTCGCTATTGTTTTGATCAATATGATTATCAATAAAAGGCACAGCTCTGGGAAGCCCCTCTGCTCTTCACAAAGCCATACCCTTCACCCCTTCTCCTGCCCTGCACTTGCGCACCAGCATAGCCCACTTAGATGAGATTTCCAAGCCTCATCCTCCATGTCCCAAGCCACCTCTTCCAACCTTTGAATACAAAGATCCTAAAGGTCAAGGTTCTAGCTGCCTTCTGCCCCCACTTCCAAGCTTTCCAGGGCTCCCTAGTGCTCTCAGGGAAAAAGGTTCCCTGACTAGTGCCTGGCCGTCTCCTGCACTTGGGCAATCACATTCCGAGTTCAGTTCCCCTGGAAACTAGGCCTTTGCCACCTCCTGCCTCTGGGCCTTTGTATATGCTGTTCCCTCTCCCTCGAATGCTTGGCCAAAGCAATCCACATCTGGATAAAGCCAACTCAACCTTCAGGTCTTAGCAGAAATCACCTCCCCCCAGGAGCATCCTCTGATCTCCAGGCTGGATAGGGTCCCTCTTCTGGGCTTCCCAGCATCCTGGGCTTCACTGTCACAGCCCTAGTCCTCCAGTGATAACACGACAGGGATTGAAAAATATGTGCTTTAAGAACTGCAAGTCCTGGGAAATTCCCTGGCGGTCCAGTGGTTACGACTCGGCGTGGGTTCAATCCCTGGTTGGGGAACTAAGATCCCATAAGCTGTGTGGCGCGGCCAAAAAAGAACTGCAGGTCCTGAAAGACCCATTTCTCTTGCTGCCTCCTCCAGGCAGTGTGCCCTGATTGCCCCAGCCCTCACTGCAGTGGAGGCTAGCAGCTCTCCAGACTCTTGCCTCCTTTTTTCCCTTGAATTCTAGGGAGTCCTCCAAGCTCACCCTGCTCCAGCCACACTTCCTCCACCACATATCAAGCATGGTACAATCTTAGGGCCTTTGCACTGGCTGATCCCTCTGTGGAGAATTCTCTTCTCCCAAATACCCACCTGGCTCCCTCCTTCACTTCCTTCAGATTTTTGAATTTGAATGTCACCTTCTCAGTGAGGAGTTCCCTGATGACCCAGTTTTTTTTTTAATTAATTTATTTTTTATACAGCAGGTTCTTATGATGACCCAGTTTTAAATTGTACGCCCCCCATTCCCTGACACACCCCTTCTTTCTCTGTTCCTGCTTAATTTTTCCCCATTGCACTTATCATCGTCTAAAACACTATACATTTTATTTTTGTATTTTGTTTATTGCCTGTCTCCTTCATCAGATGTGACCTCCAGGAGGGCAGAGATTTTTGTCTGTCCTATTGACCGTTGTGTCCCCAACACCCAAAACTAGTACCAGGGACTTCCCTGGCAGTCCAGTGGTTAGGACTCAGTGCTTTCACGGCCAGGGCCCTGGGTTCAATCCCTGGTCAGGGAACTAAGATCCTACAAGACGCTCAGCACGGCCGGAAGAAAAAAAAACTAGTACAAGCATACAGTAGGCACTCAATAAATGTTTGTTGAATGAATGAAGGCATGACAGTATGCAAGGTCTACCCTGGCCACCAGATGCCTGGGCATGTCCACCCACCTATGCAGTGTTTCCGCCTCATTCTCAATACCTGATCTTCTTGGCCACCTTCTCAAGGGGGACATCATGGCAGAGAGCGAGGTGGCAGAGGTGCAAAAAGGCCATGCCCAGGCTCTCGTTCTGAAAGTGGTGGATCTCCTCCTCGCTTGACAGCTCCCACAGCGATGCCACGTCATTTATGAACTCATGCTTGCCCTGGGGATGGGGAATCAGGCAGAAAGGGAGGCATGAGAACCTGTTCACTCCCCAGCTTCTGGTCACTTTGGGGAAGGGAAGGACCCCACATGTGTGCCTCCTCTGCCCAACCCCATGCCTGTGGCAGACATCACTAATCAATCACAGCACTTACCCCTACAACCCTAAGAGTCTCAAAACCCTTTGGTTCAGGCAGCCAAAGGATCCCAGACGGCATGAGTTGAAACCTACTAGCTATAGCAAATTGGGAGGGAAGTGAGGACTCCTCATTTGCAACCTCCCTCACAAACAGTCTCACCTCCCCAGCCCTGGTCACACCTGCTCAAAGAGGTACTCAAAGGAGGCGGGGTCCAGGAGTTGCACCCCCTGCTCGGCCTGTTCTGAGGAAGGCTCGGACCCTGGGGGACCACAGCGGTACACAGCCGGCTCCTGGGGATGCATGCCATGCCAGTTCCGGAAATAAAACCTGCAGGAAGGGAGGGGGCGCAGCTGGGGTTTAGCACAGATTCAGACCAGGTCCAAGAAGGTGGGGACAGGGGAGAGAGGGGACAGAATGAAAGCCTTCCAAGGGGACTTCACCCACCTCATGCGGAAGTACAGCATCAGGCTCGAGTCTCTGGACATATCCAGGATGTGGTTTGGAGGCAGCCAGACCTGGGCCTGGACATCGAAGAGGGCAAAAAGATTGAAGCAGGGTGGAGTGATGCCTGGACAGGGGAGAAATGAGTCAGGAGTGAGTGCCTGCTGCCATTAGCCCTGTGGACCCCCAGACCCACTGTCTCCCTTCACAATCCCTCCCTGGGCCTCCTGCCTTGCCAACAGAAGACAATGCAATATGTAAACCATCCTATGGCCTCACAGGAAAACTACATTTCCCAGCCTCCTTTGCAGCTAGGATGGAGACATTGGGCTGGTTTTTGGCCAGTGGGATGTGGGCATAAGGGAGTACATTTTTCCAGGCCTAGAAATAAACTTTCCTGCCATCTTCGCTGCCCCAGGGATGTTGGAGACCCCTTATGCCTAGTGGTGAAGCTATAAGATAGAGGGGAACCATCTGACCTGCATTAGATTTTAGGTCAATTTTCATTGTCTTAACCCAGTAGAATTGGGGGGGCTGCTTGTTACTACAGCAAAACCTATCATAGACTGACTAACACAGCTCTACAGACTGCTGGCACTTTGCCTGGTCTCTCTCTGAACTCCAGACCCAGAGAAATATCCAACTACCCCTTGGCTGTCTTCCTCTAGACATCTCGGGCCCCCTGAGATGTGCCTTGTTCCAAATAGATCTCATCTGAGGTCCCCAAACCTGCCCCCTCTCTGCCGGACTTCATCTTTGTCCTCAACTCGTCCCACCCCCTCCACATCAGATTGGTCACAAGTCCTGTACTTTCTGCATCCTCCATCTCTCTGGGATCTACCCACTTCCTTCAAATCCAAAACTCAGCCCTAGTTCAGCCTCCAAACTTACTGTCATTCCCCACACTGGCTGCCCAAGCATCTATTTTTTATACACATCACTTAAAAATTGTATCTAAAATAGTTCAGAATTATTTATTTATTTTTAATTAAAAAATTTTTTTTTTCTTTCTTTCTTTGTTTTGGCTGTGCCGGGTCTTAGTTGCGGCATGAGGGATCTTTAGTTGTGGCATGCAGACTCCTTAGGTGCAGCATGCATGCAGGATCTAGTTCCCCGACCAGGGATCAAACCCAGGCCCCCTGCATTGGGAGCACAGAGTCTTACTCACTGGACCACCAGGGAAGTCCTTCAGAATAATTTATAATCACCTAAGTACCAGCCACGAGAAAAAGAATAAAACCTGGCAAGTACAACTGAAGCCCCCACCTACATCCACCTCCTCTCCCCTCCCACAAAGAGGTAACTATACTCCTGAACTAGAGTTTATCATTTTCGTATTCTCTATCATCTTTGAATGTTATAAATTCAAATGCGGTATTATACCATAGGCGTCCTGCAATTTGCTTTTTCAGGCTACGATAGGTTTTAAGCTTCACACGTGATATGTGTAACTTTGGTTAAATTCCTTTTTCCTGGCTGTATAGTATTCCAGTGTTCAGCCATACTGCAACTGATTTGTGCATTCTCCTATACACAGACGTTGAGATGGTCTCCTATTTTCACTAAGATAAATGAAGCCACTCTGAACATTCCCATGTACATCTCCTGGAACACATGAGCTGAGTGTCTGTAGAGTGCACATCTAGGAGTGGAACTGTGTGCCCTCAGGGGATGTACATTTCAACCATGTTAGACGATGCCAAATTGCTCTCCAAAATCATTGCATCCGGGAATTCCCTGGTGGTCCAGTGGTTAGTACTTGGTGCTTTCACTGCCGAGGGCCTGGATTCAATCCCTAGTCAGGGAACTAAGATTCCACAAGCCGCATGGCGCGGCCAAAAAAAAAAAAGAAAAGAAAAGAATCATTGCATTCAAGTGTACTGCCCCCCAAAGAAAGAGCATGCCTCCCTATGAGACAACTTCCTAAAGAACCAATCTGTTTCACTCTCTGGCTTAAAACTTCCATCACTCCCCTTTGCCCCCTGAGAAAGCCCAACCCCCTCAGCACTGAAAAACCATGACCTGGACCCAGACAATTATTCTCTGCTTTCAATTCCTACTTCCCCTTCCAAATTCTTGAAAACTATGCTCCAGTTACTCTTAAGATCTTTTGCTTCCTCAAAAAGATCAGGTTCTCTGGGTCCTTGGCCAGGCATGTTTCACACCACCCAGAAAACCAGTACTTCTTTAAGAATCTGCCATTGATGGGAAAGTACAAGGTGTTAAAGATATCTACCAGAAGGCCCCTATCCAGTTGCGGGACAGGGGGTTTGAGAGGACGTCCTGGAGGAAAGGGCATGTAAGCAAAGTCCCCTTGCAGAGACCTTCTCCCCCTCCGGCAGGAGAAACTAACTTTCAAGCACGTGTGCTGCAGGCTCTCTCAACCATTCCATGCTTCACTACTGTTCCTGGGGAAAGCTTTAAGCCCTAAACTCCTCCCTCTGGGGTTTAAAACACTGTAAGATCTGAACCTGGCTGACTTCTGCCCCATCACCTCCTACTTGGAGGCCCTTACTCCCGCCCTCGCCCGCCACAGTCTGCTCCCCCTACAGCAGCCAGAGATCATCTGTGACACTTGCGTCCAATTACGTTCCTTCTTCACTCACAGTCCTCTGTGGCTCCCACCTCACTTGGAGTAAAATCCAAAGTCCTCCCTGAGGCCCAAGAGGCCCTGTACAACCTGTGCCATCACCTGCTTGCCCTCACCTATTCCTGTCTCCCCTTCACTCACTCGGCTACAGCCACACTGGCCTCCTCACTGTTGCTGGCAAGTTCCCACCTCAGGGCCTTTGCACTTGCTGTTCCCACTGCCTGGCGCCACCTTCCCCAAGATATACCCGTGGCTCAGTCCCTTATCTCCCCAAGTTTTAAATCTTTTACCATGATCTCTGGCCTCCTATACAGTTTTCTTATTTATTGTGTTTCTTGTTGATCCCTATTAGAATATCAGCTCTACAAATGTAGTAACTGGGGGCTGGCACACACTAGGTGCTCACTCAATGTCCTCTGAATGAATGGGCAGACGATTGGATGGATGAGGCCCGGCGGCTGCCAGCGCCTCCACCCCGCCATGGGGCTGATGCCCGGGACTCACCGACTTTGTGTGCAATGTGGAGGCAGACCTCCTCCGCAGTCAGTGTGGCCTCGCTGAAGGTGACCCAGGGCTCCCCGCCACCGGGGCCAGCCCAGTGCAGAAGCACCTTCAGGCCTCCTCTGGTGGCCATGGGCTGAGCTCCATCCCCATCGGGCTTTCTGCCCCTGGTGGTGGCCCCCCATTGGCACAGAGGCATGCTCTTGACAGCTGGCTTGCCTAGGAAGGAATGACATCTTGTCAGCCCCAGGCCTCAGTCTGGAGGCCCCTTTGAGCACCTCAACCTTCCAACCATCCAGACTGAGGCTTGGGGGGAAGATTCTGGATCCCTGCTCGCTGTGCAAACTTAGACACCCAATTCCCCTTCCTGAGCCCCAGTTTCCACAACCGTTTGATGGAGTTGGGGTATGTGTCCCCACCTACCAGATCAGTCATGAACAATAACACCACCAAACCCCTTTATTGGACAAATTCACCAATATAAAAATCTGCTCTGTCCAATAAAATTTTTTTTTTTTAATCTGCTCTGAACCCACCTTTCCAAAATAACCAGGAAGACAGGGGTGGCCAGACAGACCTGGGGGTGAATCCTGTGTCGACTCAGATGAGTCACTTAGCCATGCTGGGCCTCAGTTTCCCCATCTGGAAAATGGAGATGCTGAGAGTGTTGCCATGAAGAGATGGTTGTGAAGTTTCTACATTCTTTTTTTTTTAACTTTTAAACTAGAGTTGTAAGTGAATTACGCACCACCGTCACCATATTACAGATAGGTAAGGACTTACTATTGCCATTTTGTTGTTTTCTCGTTGTTTTGTACATCCATTGTTCCTTGTTTCTTATCCTGCTGTCTTTCTTTGTGTTTGGATGTAATTACTATAAGATTTTTCCTTTGTGGTTACCCTAAGTTTAATGTTATAAGTTTAAGACATTTTATGAGCCTTACATAACATACCTCACACTTGTAACACCCTAGCACCTAGCAGCTTCACTTCAATAGGACTGGTAAACACTATACTTTTCATTCTCCTCCACCTCATATTTTGATTACTGCTGCTACACTTTACATGTTTTTTATATTGTGTAACTAAAACAGATTATTGTATTACGGTTATTTTTTCTACATCCTTTTTTTTTAAAAAAACTAGAGTTGTAGATCAATTAGGTTGTGACGTTTCAACACAATTCTGCACGTCACATGTTCAGTACCTTGATACAGGCATGAAAAAATAACAAATATGATAAAAACAAGAATGAAGTCATTATTGGTTTTATCACCATAATCCTTTTTCTCTTTCAAGCCGAGATTCCTGCATACCACATCTACCCCCACCAGCGACCCCAGTCCCTGCTGGCTCCCTGAGCGGAGAAGGGGCTGTGTTCAGCTCTTTCCCCAACAATCTGGAACTTTTCGAGAGCGAGGCCCAGGGCTCAGGCCTCCTGAGGTCTCCAGTATTTGCAGGGAGGGGCTGTCAGCGATTCGACCGATGTTACTGATTTAAGACAGTGATGGGGGAAAAGAGAAGGTTGTAATAGCACAATGTCGGAGTCGTCAAGAATCAACTCCTCTCTGAACCTGTTTCCTCATTTAGAAAATGGGCATAAAACAGTCTCTCTCTCAAAGGGTTGATGGGAGGATTCAGTGAGGTGAGACAGGGAAAGGGCTCCGCACCGGGCCTGGCGTGCAATAAGTGCTTGATAAATGTTCGCTATTATTATCTTATTAATGTTCGAGATAAGATCTTGGGAATGGGGTTTTGCAGGTGCCCATCTCCTCCCTCCTCGTCCCCATTGGGCCCAGACCCAGCTTTGAAGATGAGGTCTGGGTGAGGTCCGCGGCCCCCGCCCCCCAACAGAAATCTCCAAACCCTTCTGGCAGGGGTGGGAACCGCGACGTGTACCCACCGGGCATCAATCAGTCCCAAGGCAGTGTGGGGGCTTCTACCCACCTCCTGCAAAGGGCAGTCCCGCCGGCCGCAACCTTCTTGATGACCTCCCGGGCGCGCCCCCTCCCGCCCCCCGTCCAGACTCACCCTTTCCGGGGAACTCCGGCTCGAACCTAGGACCCCGCCCCGCCCAGCAGCCAGGGTCAGCCGCCGCTTGATCGCCGCTGGGACACCGCCTCCCATTGGCTGCCTGAAACGGGCACACTCATTGGCGGCCGCTCTGCTCCGCCCCCTCGCTGCTACGGCGGCGCTCCCATTGGTGCGGGCTTCAAGTTTTGCTCAGCAGCGGGCGGGCGTGTGAGGTCTTGCCGGGGCAAGGCTGCTCCCATTACCCACGCGGGCGGTGGGCCTAAGTCAGGCTTCCGTACCCGAACTTGGTGCAAGCCCAGGTCCTCAGCTCTGCAGTCTTTCAGTCCTCCAACTCCCCTGCCATATGGCCCTACATCTGTCCTGCCTTTTGTCCCTGTCTGCCTGGCCAGCCCTGCTTTGCGGCCTGAGACCCCCTTCCTCTAAGGGAGGCATTTCCGGCCCACCAGCTCACATCCCTTTTCTGATCACCTGTAGCCCTGTCCTCCGAGGGCCCCTTGCTCTCAAGGTAGCAGCTTGGACGTCCCACCTGATCCGAGTTCTGATGCCTACACAGTAAGTAGGTCGCTGTCATTTTACAGAAAAGGCTATGCGCTGAGCGTTTTCCACGCGTTATTATCTCATTTGATGCTAGCAGAAGTTCCTCTGGGGACTATTATCCCCATTTCTCAGAGAAAAAAACTGAGGTCCAGAGAGGTGACAGACTCTCTCCTTGACCAAACTGTAGTCTTCTGAACCTTCTTCTCGACTACTCCTCAACCTTGGCCGCAGTCCTGTCTTTGGCTTGCACAGTACAGTCTGAGCAAAGAATCCTTCTAAGTCATCCCCCAACCCTTGATATCTGATCAAGTTTCTCATTCCCCACCATTGATGTATACATCCTTGGCCTCTCTTTAGCAAGAATCCCCCTACCCTCGATGTCTCCATGGACCTCATCACTCTGCTCTGGCTGTCAATCCCCAGCTGTCTTTGCTGCGTCCAGAGTTGAGCCCAATGCTCTCCCCTTTTGCAATCCGCCTATTGCAATAGTCCTGAATAAAGTCTTCCTTACTGTTCTGTGAATGAAAAATATTGCCTGCCATATCAATAAACAAAGGATGTTGTAGCCATCAAGCCATCACATTACAGCCCCCCAGATGGTGACCCTGGAGGGAACTCAGGATAGAAACAGGATGCCCACCATCAAGCCATCAGCCATAGCACACCACACCCCCCAACCCCCGCAATGATGCACCCTGAGGAGACTCAGGATGAGAAAGCCCAGGATACTGGCCCTAGATAGCTGAGGTGCCTATCAAAGGAACGACTTCAGTGAGCCCAGACTCTTGCATCTTCCCATACATAGAAAAGTACTAAATTCCTTAACTTGAGATAGCTGGTTTTCTTTAATTAACAATAATCTTTTGATGTTCCGACTACCTGGTCTTTGATGCAAAAACTCCTGTATATCCTGGATCCCCACTTGCCTCTTCAGAGCAATCTCTCAGAGTTATCTGAGATGCTGTGTCCCAGACTTAATTCTCAGTTTTGTCTGCTGAATAAAATATAACTCTCAACTTTTAGGTCATGCTTTTGGTTTTTTTTCAGTCGACAGTTTTTAACAAGTGTCACAGTAATTTTTTTCTTTAACAGAGGCTGAGTAACTTTCCGAGGTTAGTTAGTTTCCCAGCACAAAAGAGCAGAACCAGGTTTATTTCTGAAGGTGGAGCCATAACTGCTGTGGCCAAGGGCATGTGGCTACTCATCTTAGTCTGAGAAAATGTGGGGAAAAACAGACTCTTCTTCACAGGGCAGCTATGGAGATTCAATGTGAAGTTGTAGATAGAGACTTAGCCTAGCACCTGGAGGCTAGTGAGTGCTAGGAACTTGGGAACTGGGGAATCAACAGTGATGTATCCTGACAAGGGAATAATTTGCAACTGGGGAAAAAAAAAAAAAAAAGAGGAGCTCTGTACTGATATGGAGACATCTCCAGAGTGTCTGTATATTTCATAACAGAGAATGAAATATATAGAATAAAGAGAATGTGTTATATTTCCCTGTGCCTGCTCAGCCCACCTATGGGAAGACTCAAGAGAAATATAGAAATATTGGTTAGCTCAAGGAAAAAAATTTCAGAGAATCTCAGGAAAAAAAATCTCACATTTGTCTCACACCAACCTTTGGTTCATCAGCAAAATCTCACCCCTCCTGGTCCAGCCCCCATCATCATTTGCCTGGACCAATGCAGTTGCTTCTATCCTGGTCTGAGGCTCCTCCCCTTGCCCCTGCCCACCCCCACCTCCTTGTCTATCCTCCCTGCATCACCCACAGGGCATCTGTGAGCATCTGAGCACAATCTCCTATCCTTTATAGATATGGGTGATCGGGCCCAGAGCCTGATTGTGTGGGTTACAGAATTGTAAAACCATTTAAATGCTCAGGGTCTCTTATGCTAAGGTAAGGGCACTGACTGGAGAGGTTTGGAATGGAAATATTGGGCAGACACAGATGACCCTGAGAACTTTGACCCCATCAATACACTTGTCTGAAGGAGTTGGCCCTTCTACGGGTGATATTGTGATATAACAAGAAATATATATTTGGTCTTCATCCCTGATTCCTGGCACAGAACTTCGAAAACTCTTGAAACTTGTTGAGTGAAAGAGCTGATAGCATCATGTTTTGTTATATTATTTGGGTTTAGTCCCTGGTTCCCGGCTCAGAGCTCCTAAACCCCTTGGGATTTCCTGAGTGACAGAGGTGAGAGATGAGAAAAACATGTTTTGTTTTTCCGGTCTAGGCCTGAGCAGCCATACCCGAGTTTATGCTAATGAGGTGACTCATGGATGGCCCTGGAGATTGTCAAACTAAGTGAAGTAAGTCAGATAGAAAAAGACAAATACCATATGATATCACTTAGGGGAGGAATCTAAAAAAAAAATGATACAAATAAACTTATTTACAAAACAGAAACAGACTCACAGACTTAGAGAACGAACTTATGGTTATGGGGGGGGAGGGTTGCGGGGAGGGATAGACTGGGAGTTTGGGAATGACGTGTACACACTGTTATATTTAAAGTAGATAACCAACAAGGACCTACTGTGTAGCATAGGGAGCTCTGCTCAATATTCTGTAATAACCTAAATGGGAAGAGAATTTGGAAAAGAATAGATACACTTATATGTATAACTGAATCACTTTGCTGTACACCTGAAACTAACACAACACTGTTAATCAACTAGACTCCAATATAAAATAAAAATTTAAGGGACTTCCCTGGTGGTCCAGTGGCTAAGACTCCCCACTCCCAACGCAGGGGGCCCGGGTTCAATCCCTGGTCAGGGAACTAGATCCCACATGCTGCAACTAAGAGTTCACATGCTGCAACTAAAGATCCTGCATGCCTCAACGAAGATCCCGAATGTGGCAACCGAGACCCGGCGCAGCCAAATAAATAAATAAATATTTTAAAATATAAAAAGAAAAAAAAAAACTTTCATGAGCTTCACCCGTGCCCAGTGTTAAAGAAACAACAATAATAGAACAAACCAAATACCCAGGCCAAGAAATAAACCCTCACCACTCCCCAGAAGCTCCTGATTCTGAATCAGCAAGTCCATCTTCCTGTCCCCTTCACCTGCTATATATATATATTTTTTTTTTGCGGTACGCGGGCCTCTCACTGCTGTGGCCTCTCCCGTTGCGGAGCACAGGCTCCGGACGCGCAGGCTCAGCGGCCATGGCTCACGGGCCCAGCCGCTCCGCGGCATGTGGGATCTTCCCGGACCGGGGCACGAACCCGCGTCCCCTGTATCGGCAGGCGGACTCTCAACCACTGCGCCACCAGGGAAGCCCCACCTGCTATATTTTTCTTAGCAACCTTTATGACAGTCTGACATTCCACTGGAAGTCTCTTAGAGCACTGGTTTTAATGCCTGGCTTCCATTCTAGAATGTCAGCTCCACGAAGGTTCTCCACTGTGTCCTCAGTGCCTGGAATTGTGTCTGGCACCCAGTAGGTTCCAAGAAGCTGGTGGAGTGAATGATCTACGGAGATGCCTAGGCCAGGACTACTGTCCTGCTCTGCTGCGGAAGGGCTGGCCATGGCCTTCCGGCCTCAGCTTCCTCTTTGCCACTAGGACCGCAGCAGCAGGAAACCAAGTGTGCCAGATTCTTCAACAGCCAGCCTGGGTGAGGTCGGTTGGCCTCGCTGG